CAAACTCTGGCGTTGGAACGCTCCCCTGAGAAGCGCCGGGCTGTGAAATGCAAGAGAATTGCTGTCACATCCCCACGTACAAATGACTGCCGGAAAAATGTCTGTGCAAACCATGTCCGGCCAGCATGCTCAAGCCCCTCATTTGGAGAGCTGACTTTCTGTAACTTTGCCCCAGGTGTGTCTTCAAATTCACTGGCAGGGTCAAGGAAACGATGCTCGAACTCTCGCACAAGGATGAATATGTCCAAGGTTTGATTGCCATTCCCTACTGAATCAGCGCCCAGGCAAACTCGCTACTGTGCAGCTGTATCCACTGTTCTTCGGAAGGGATGAGCATCAACTGAAATCTCGTAGTGGCATAGCACAATCGATCTGCAACTCAGAGACATCATCTGTGTTTGCATCCATACCAAACTGACTGCTGAGCTCACTTACAACCAGTCAAGCTCAGTCTGAATCTGACTGCTGCTACCGCCATACTTAGGAACGCCCCAAGTCACCACAGAGCCATCGTCCAGGATGGCAGCGAAAGCTCTCTGAGTTGCTTGGATCTGCTGGACCCGCACCAAATGCTCTCGCACCTGATTGCTGTCACCACCATAGGCAGGATGACCCCAAGTCACCACAGAGCCGTCCTCCCTGATGGCGGCAAAAGCTTTCTGAGTTGCTTGGATCTGCTGGACACACACTAGCTGCTCTTGCACCTGGCTGCTGTAGCCGCCCGCATCAGCATATCCCCAAGTCACCACAGAGCCATCGTCCAGGATGGCTGCAAAGGCAGCCTGAGTTGCTTGGATCTGCTGGACCCGCACCAAATGCTCTCGCACCTGGTTGCTGTCACCACCATAGGCAGGATCGCCCCAAGTAACCACAGAGCCGTCCTCCCTGATGGCGGCAAAAGCTCTCGCGCTTGATTGGATCTGCTTGACCCGGACCAGCTGCTCTCGCACCTGGCTACTGTCACCGCCAAACTCAGGAGCGCTCCAGGTCACCACAGAGCCGTCAGCCAGGATGGCAGCAAAAGCTCTCTGAGTTGCTTGGATTTGCTGGACACGCACCAGCCGCTCTCGCACCTGGCCACTGTCACCACCCCAGTCAGGAATGCCCCAAGTCACCACAGAGCCGTCCTCCAAGACGGCGGCAAACGCATGGTCAGCTGCTTGGATCTGCTTGACCTGCACCAACTGCTCTCGCACGTTGCTGCTGTCACCGCCCAAGGCAGGATTGCCCCAAGTCACCACAGATCCGTCAGCCAAGATGGCAGCAAAAGCTTTATTAGTTGCTTGGATCTGCTGGACACGCGCCAACTGTTCTTGCACGTGGCTGCTGTCACCGCCATCTACAGGATCGCCCCAAGTCACCACGGAGCCGTCTTCCAGGATGGCTGCAAAAGCGTATTCTGCTGCTTGGATCTGCTGGACACGCGCCAACTGTTCTTGCACGCGGCTGCTGTCACCGCCAAAGCTAGGATCGCCCCAAGTCACCACAGAGCCGTTCTCCCGGATGGCAGCAAAAGCTCTCGTGGTTGCTTGGATCTGCTTAACCCGCCCCAACTTCTCTCGCACCTCACGGCTGTCACCGCCATCCTCAGAAGAGCCCCAAGTCAGCACAGTGCCTTCCGTGACATGCAGCGCACATGCTGCCTGTGCAGCAGCTAGCTTGACGGGTTGCACGATGGCACTTATGCTGTCACCATGTTCTAGGCCCACATCACGCAAAGAGGTTGACGGGTCCAGCCGTTGGCCTTTGAAAGCAAGCGCCAGAAAGCGACGCTTTAGCTGTTGTTGCACCTCAGCCTTCAGATCACGCACGCTCGACTCCGAAGGCAGCGAAACCGTGCAGCTACTTCCACTTGGCAAGTAGACCTCCACTTTCATGGCGCCGCATGCGCGGAAGAAGGGTGAGCAAAAGGCAAAAGCTAACGTCCTGTGCGGATAAAGCGCTCAGCTTTCTGCTTCAGCCCCTGACCGCTCAGTCTTTGACCGGCTTGTTCAGGTGACACATCAAGGCAAGGAACTGGGCCCCACCCAAGCCACGCGTTAACGAGCTTCTTGGAAAAAATAACAACGCCAAGTTCCCAAAAATCCTTGCCAGACTATGACAGAGCGTGTCGCCATGAAAAGACATCGGATTTCGCAAGATATCCCTATCACAACCCATTGGTTTCCTAACATCGAACAAAACGCGTCCGTGCAGAGTTGCTTCTCTTCTGATGTGAGATTCAGTTTCCCTAGCTCCCCGCAAGAAACAAAATGCCAAAAACGAATCCCAGCCTTCTCTTTAGTTGTTTCTTAAAGGTATCTGTTTAACTCGCAACAACAGCCTGTGAGCCCAACGGTACGGCTCGTGGATGGGAGCCGTTCAGAGAGATATTCGACCGTCCTATGTGGCCAGGAGGACTCCAGGCTTCATTTGAGGACAGAAAGGGGAATTGCATCCATTGTGTTTTCCGGGGGTTTTGAACGGGCTTGTTGGAGGCTGAAAACCCTGTGCACAAAGCCACCGGGTTTCGTCAACTCGGAACTCGTTCTGCTTGAATTGGCCAAACCTCTTTGGGGGGGAAACCTTTGGAGGGAATCCACACGAATCCACACCCCGGACCTGCGAACCAAAAGAAAAGAAGCGTGCTTGCAGAGAAATCAACGGTTTCAGGTGTTGAGAGATCCTCAAAAATAGAAAATGTCGAATCCCCCTATCATTTTAGTGTGGTGCGGGGACCCGTTGCACGGGTCATCTTACACTTCGCCGTCTTCTAGTATTCCCTCAAAGCATGGGAAATAGCTCGTCCCCTGGTGTATCCCAGAGATCACGACGTTGGGCTTGTTGGGATTTGGGCACATACGTGTATGTATGTGTGTGTATGGGTATATGCACATGCACGTACGGGAATGCATATGTATCTACATCTGTAGCTGTGTCTGTTTTGGTATCCGCATCTGTGCGTGTATTTTATACTAGTACTTGTATGTGTAGATGTATATGCATATGATCATCTGTATATGCAGGCACGTAGATGGCCGCGTGACAAGAGAGAGAGAGAGAGAGAGAGAGAGAGAGAGAGAGAGAGAGAGAGAGAGAGAGAGAGAGAGAGAGAGAGAAAAAGAGAGAGAGAGAGACGTTAAAATACGTTGGTACTTTACTGCAAGTGCAAGTGTTGTTTCTGTTGTCACAAACACAAATGTAGTTAGCCAGCATGCACTCTTTTCCTGGTAGACTCAAGGCCTGCAGTCGGGTAGTGTACATCATGCATGCACAAGTGACAAGTAGTGCAACATGATATTTGACACGGCCCCTTGGTTAAAAGACCTTGTAGTGTCCTTTAACCATAGACCGAAAAGGCGGTATTGACAGTAGTGGCAAAAACGAATGCACATGTTGTTTGCCGATGCTACTGTAGCGAACAGGCATGTAGTCTCTTAAAAAAGATGACCGAAGGTAGGTATCCACAGCGCTGCTGTCTGTAGTTCAACTAACCTTCAAATGATCAAAAAGTGAATTGCTGTACAAGAACCCTACATGGCTCTCAGTCATCTCGTAGTACGATGACGTAGTACAGCACGTAGTTGCAGCTCAGTGTTGGACTCGGTAGTTCTGGACTTGGCTGATGCGGTAGTCCAAGCCTGCATAGTGGTTGGTAGTGAATGTGTTGAGGAAGTCTGGGCCGCCACGGAGGCGGTTGTAGTCGCATTCTGGTGGTGCAAGTGCTTGGCCGGTTGTAGTGAGGTAGTTGTGGAGTAGTAGTTTGTGTTGTGTGGAAAGATTCGTAGCCGTGAGGAGGGTGATGCCGTAGTAGGTGACACTTTTGTGTAGCATCGTGTTGATGGACTTGTAGTGGTGGTCTTGAAGTTGTTGCGGTTGGTCGAAGTAGTTGAGTAGTTCGGGGCATGTGGTAGTTCCAAATGAAGTTGTTGGACAGGTTGAATGTAGTGGTGATCTGGTCCAAGTTGTCGGTGATTCGGTGTAGTCGTTGATGTAGCTGGCGTGTAGGTAGGTGGTGCTCGTCTTTGATTGAGATCATGTGGCTCACGTAGTCGCGGCAGAAGTTGATGAGTTGTCCAGCACTGACAAATCGTAGTAGAACTTCTGATGGAATGTGTAGTTGGATGTTGGTGTACTGAGTTGTGAGGTGTAGTGATGTTAGGTTGTAGTAGTAGAAGTTGACTGCCTCTGAAAGACGTAGGTGAAGAGGTAGTGAGTCGTAGTGTGGCATCCGTAGGTCTGAAGGTAGGTCGTGAACTGGTAGGTTGTAGTTCGGGGATGGGTGTAGTTTGTTGTTGACTTAGTAGTTGGAACTCCTCAACCGTCAAAGCCACGTAGACCCTGAAGTAGTTCTGCTCCGGGTCGATCGCTGGAGTGTCAGGGATGTTGTTCTCAATTGTAGTGAGGTGCGCCAAGATGTCGTCGGGTCTGTAGAAAGGTGCCGGTGTGGGTAGCTGGTGATTGAAGTTGTAGTTGAGGGAGTTGTAGGCCTCAGGTGGTGGTGTGGCCAAAGTAGCCATGCTGCTGGAGTCGGTAGTGCCCTGCCGATCCGGTGGTGTGAAAACACGGTCCGGTGTAGTACTGCCAGCCTGTTGTTCGACGGGCAGAGTAGTCTCTGGCGCTGATGTAGTAAGCTCCATCGGCATGACTTCCAGCGTAGTCGCATCCATGGGCGTAGTTCCAGCCATTGCTGGTAGTTCGGCCTATCGAGATGCAGTGAAACGGGGCAGACAGTAGTGAGCCAATGTTAGCTCACAAAAGCACATGCGGGCATGTAGTAAAACACAAAACAACATGTAGT